AAAGAATTGTATTTTGTGAATTCTGTGCTTTGTGTTATACTTAGGCTTTCTCCATTTTCAGATAATTTTAAACATTATTCCATGGTTTCCCTAGTACTTTTATGATTATTGGACATTCTTAATCATTTTAAGTTCTAAATTGTTTTATTCATAGGATCAAATTCCATTTCAATTTCTATCTGATCTAGAAGAGCAAATCAGGTAAGAATTTGTAGTAGGGTGCTTGAATTTCAGTTTAGATAAGAACTTAGGTGTTTCTGCCTGTATTCTTTGGGTATGCTGCTTATGTAACCCTCCTGAGTCTCAGTGGCTTCATCTGTAAAATGGGAATGACAAATATTTAATTTGAGATGAAAATTGCATGCGATGATTCATTAAAAACCTTCAGCACACGCAATGCTTGACATGTTGGAAGCATTCATTAAACGCAAACTGATAATGATGATAACTACAGACTATTATTCTTCAATTTCTACCATCATCCCATAACTCATGATTCCAATTAGAGGAGGGGGAATAAAAGATGTATTCTAAATCGCCAACCTTACCACTTTAGGCTCATCAGTTTCCTCCAAACACAGCAGTTTCCTCTAAACTTCAGCATTATGTTAGAATCAGCTGAGTAGTTTTAAATTCTCAATGCTTGTGATCTGGGGACGTGGGTATGGCTCAGGCATAAGTATTTTTCAAAAATCTCTCAGGTGATTCTAATGGCAGCGAGGTTGAGCGCTACTGTTATAGATATTTCAGTGATTTCAGATGTGAAAGAAAATAGTGATTGCTTCTAAAGAACAACATGCAGTATAGGGATGTTGTATAGGTAAAATGACATGAATGTTAAGAAGACATTAAAAAGAGAATGTGACCCAGCACAACACTAAAGGAAAAAAAAATAAAAAGGGAATGTTGAAGAGGTAAAACATGTCAGAAATATGAATGAACCAGGCACCAGTGGCTCATGCCTATAATCCTAGCTACTCAGGAGGCAGAAACCAGGAGGATCGCAGTTTGAAGCCAGCAAGGAGAAGTAGTTCTCGAGAGCCTATCTTGAAAACCCTTCACACACAAAAAAGGGCTGATGGAATGGATCAAAGTGTAGGCCCTGAGTTCAATCCCCAGTACCACAAAAAAGAAAAAAATGGATGAAAGGAGTTACAAAGCTAAAGGTGTTCCTTGTATGTGCTTATAAGGCATCGTTCTCAGAAAATCTCAGAGCAGCTGTACCCTAAATACTTAAGCTAAGAGCTAAGAGGCATGACACACTGTACTTAACGTTTTTAATATGTGTTGATGGAACCTGTAGATAAGACTCATGTTAGCTATTTAATTAGATAAATTTCAGATTTTTGTTACCCCATTGCTTTCCTGGATAATTCTCAAAAAGAAATGATTGTTTTTGATAATCAGTAAATTATCTCTATAAGCATTTTTGTAGTTTAGCTCATTTATAGATTAGTAGGGTGCATAAGAAAATTAGATACTAGAAAAAAAGCATTGCGAGAGCAGAGTCCCAGTTGCAGCGGCGCGAGCCACGGCAGGAAAAGCATTTAGAAAGTTTGCTCTGCTGTTTGACCGAGTATTGGTAGAAAGGAATGCGGCCAAATGGTAACTAAAGGTGGCATTATGTTACTGCAAGCAGCAGTAGTGGCTGTGGGATGAGGCTCCAAAGGAAAGGATGGAGAGATCCAACCTGTTAGTGTACAAGTTGGAGATAAGAGTTCTTCTGCCAGAATATGGAGGCACCAAAGTAGTTCTAGATGACACGAAGCTGCCCATTCCACTGACGTCCTGAAATCTTTCATCATGTAAATAATTTCCATGTGTCTCCCTTTTATAATAAACTGATGATTCCTAAAGTGGGGGAAAAAAAAAAAGAAAGAAAAAAGAAAAGTGGTCTAGGAGGCCTAGATTCTAGGTCTTGAGCTCCCATTTCCTCAGGCACAAAATGGAAGAAATAAAAGTTCCCAAAGGTCTCTTTCAGCTCTAAGTGGTTAGTGTCCTACAAACCACCTGAATAAAAGTCTTCCTTATGTTAATCAGTCAGACAGCAAAATTATTCTAGCTCAAGCTTTTGTTTTTGAGTGTGGTGCTGGCCACCAGGGCCTTACACATGCTAGGCAAACACTCAGCTACTGAGCTATGTCCCTGGCCCCTTAACTCCAGCTTTGAAAACTTTCATTCCGTGGCTTCATTTTGTCTTTATCTATCTTAAAGCAGTCTAACTTCTCAAAGTTGAGATTTTTATCAAAGTATGCCTTGGTAGAATTAGAGTAATATATATCTTGTGTAGCTAGCTTATTTATATTTTACAATGGTGTCTTCACCCAGAAGGGTGACTAGTGGAGACTGGGGGGCTGTGTCTTGAGGCTGACAAGGGAATTGGAGCCCCAGTTTTCTGTTGCCTTTCAAGTCATGGCCTGTGGATAATTTGATACATGGAGAACCTAGCCTGCTCTTCCTTCCACATTTTCTTCTAATCTTTTCTACTCATCCTCTTGCATTGCATTACTCATGATCTTTTAGACTCACACAATTCTTGTATCAATTGTGTTTTCATCATCTCCTTCCTATAAAAATTGGACTGTTTTTGAGGCCAGGATCACATTTATATTGTATCTGTTACCTGAGCTAGAGTATTGTGTTGGTACATAAAAGGAGCTTGATAACTGTTTCATTGATTTAAAGTTTGGGAAAAAAATGAACTGATTTTAATTTCATTGCTTACTCATCTTTTTTTCTGTGCTACTCCAACTTTCATTGTTTCTTTTATAATATTCCCCCTCTTCTTTTTTTACATAAAGTCCTATTTCATGGCAATATCATTTACTTTCTGGATATATCAATGATCTTTTCACTTTCAAAAGCCAAGAGTAGTAATTTATAAAGAAAGGAAGTAATCATTATACCAGAATACACAAATAATACATAGATAAGCTTAAAGAAGTACATATGTAAAAGAACTTTAAGAGAAATATTTGATTCAGTTTAGTATACTATCAATTTAACTCTTAAGCACATTAGAACTAAACATTTTAGTCTAGTTTTAATGTTAATTTTCTAAGCTTACATTATTCTGAAATCATGAACAATATGTGAAACATGTACTAAATACTCAAATTATTAAAAATAAATCATGTATATGTAACTGAATTGAGTTTTGATGAAATTTGAGTATGATAGTGGGAAAATAGCATGACAGTATTTTGGTGAAATAGAACAAATTTTCAATTTTGATAGTATAAGAAAAGACTCCAACTATTTAAAATGTTTACTTAACAAAATAACATTATTACTTTTGATCACAGTTTTAACATTTTAAAAACAGAAAGTGGTAAGATCCAAAACTTATGTAAGTATTGAGAGTTTCAGCTGTTTTTAGCTTAACAGTTAAGTTGGGATTTTGAATTGTGAGTGTAATGCCTTACTGTAGGTAGCATGCTTGGGACCTGGGTTCAATCCCCAGCAAGGAGGTGGGGGAGGGGAAGGAGACTGCAAATTATTTTTTCTCCTTGTCTCTCTTTTGAGGCTACCTTTGTGGGTTCTAAATTTTTTACCTGGTATAGTAATAACTACTTCCTGGATAGAAAATTCTAACTCGTTATTCAGTATACTAGTTGGAGGCTGGTTTAAGAGAACCTTAAATGTGTACTTTTTTGAAAGCATATACTTGCTAGTTCGAGCATTTCCAAGCTTCTGTGACTTCTATATTCATAGAATATGGAGCGTAAACAGATATTAATGATTTTTAAGCACCAGAAGAATATTATGCCTTTCATAAATGTTCCTTTTGCTAGCAGTATGAGCAACTTAAAAGCAGCTAGACAGAAGTTCAAACATGGTATAGAGATTGAAATAGATTTATTACACCTTTGCCCCCAAAGTACAAAAGTACTTAATTCAAAGATACAAAGTGGATCCTACATTTTTTTGTAATGATCATTTCACAGTATTAGTAATTAGAAAAAAAAAATCTTGTGTTGAATGAACATTCTTCAAGTTTATTTTTAGACTCATTTTTCTATGTTAATCTGCAAATAAATTTTAGAGTAATAGCAAAGACGACAATTTAAAACAAAGTTTGTGAACATTCTGTATGATTTCTAGTTTCGAAATTCTTTTAACTCAAAGGTCACTTTTGGATATTAAAATTGGTTTCATAATGAAAATGATACAGAAAGTTGATTTAGGGTAAAATTTCATTAGTAAATGAATTTATAATCCTTAAAATTCTAACTGAATTAAACTTTGTTCTGCAAATTATTTACAGTGGTGCAAATATTACTTTTTAAAAATTATTTTTTTGCAGTACTGGGGTTTGAACTCAGTGCCTCGTGCTTGTTAGGCAGGCGCTCTACCACTTGAGCCACATCCCCCGCTCTAAATGTTACTTTTTAGAAAGTGTGCGTTTAGTTTTAAGTATGTGAGGATCCTATAGGCATGCTGACATTTCCTAACATACTTTATTTAAAAATCTTTTTGGGGGCTATATAACTCTGAATTGTTCTAAGTATTAAAAAGAACTGATGTCTTTTAAGACAGAAAGGAACTGTCTGTCCAAGATGGATGTTTTCACTTGCAAACTATCTTCAGAGATATGAATTCTAATTCTGAAGCAGGAAGATCTCAAAACATTTCTATTCCCTCTTTTTCACTTCTGTTCTCATCTTCAAAATACAATTAGGATCGTCATTGGAATCTCCGCCACCGGGTACCCCGCGTCGGTAGTGGGTGGCAGACTTGAAGACAAGGCTTTACTGTGTCGGCCATGTGTTTCCCTCGATCTTTTGGCTGATAACCTCAAACATGGAGGATGCTTCTGATCTTCACGAGGGGTTGCTCCATTAATTAATAATGTAGCTCTCCCAGGCTCTGCGCCGTCTCTTCCTGTATCAGTGACAGGCTGTAAAAGTCATCGGGCAGCCAATAAAAAGGTAGAAGCGAGAAGTGAAAAGCTCCTCCCAACTGCTCTTCCTCCTTCGGAGCCGAAAGTAGATCAGAAACTTCCCAGGAGCTCCGAGAGGCGGGGAAGTGGCGGCGGGACGCGATTCCCCGCGCGGAGCCGGGCCGGGGCCGCGGGAGGACCGGCAGCTGGGGGCGCGGCGACAAGAGACCCCCCCCAACCCCCCGGGGAGGAGTGGGTCCCGGCTGCCTGCTTAGTGGAGGAGGTGAGGTGGCCGTCGGAGGGCTCCCAGGTGAGGGTTTCGGTGCGGTTGCCCGAAGCCGGCGGGCGCCGGCTGGGCAGCGGAGGCGAGCGGGGGAACAAAGCGGCGCGGTGCGGCGCGGCGCGGGGGTCGGCCCGCGGCGGGCAGCCGGGCTGCGTGGGGCTGCGCGCCGAGCACGTTGCGAGCCCGCGGCGGCGGCGGCGGGAGCGGGAGGGGAGCCGGCGCGGGGGGGAGGGGGCGGCCGCGGCTCCCGCACCGCCCGCCGCGGGGCGTCCGGCCCCATTGTGAGCCGGCGGCGGGAGGCGCGCTCAGAGCGCCGAAGCGACGGCGGCCCGACTTGCACAACACCCCGGGCGGCGGCTCCAGGAGGAGCCCGGGCGCGTCGGACACACAAAAGGCAGCCGAGCTCCCCCGGCGCGCGGACCGGCCCATGCCGCCGCCGGCGCTCGCCACCTTACCGGCTTTCCTTTCCCTCCAATTCTCATAGGGAAGCGGGGCCGACGCGGGCGCTCGAGGGTCCGGGGCAGCGTGCGGGCGGACGGACGGGAGATGCCGCTGCTACACCGAAAGCCGTTTGTGAGACAGAAGCCGCCTGTGGACCTGCGGCCGGACGAGGAAGTTTTCTACTGTAAAGTCACCAACGAGATCTTCCGCCACTACGAGTAAGGGCCGGGCCAGGCCGGGTACGCGGGGTGCGGGGACTCCCTCCCCAGTGCCCTTTTGTCTGTTTCCTTTTCCTCGCCCTGGGCTCTGGCCGGGCGACTTGAAAGTGACGGGTGGCTCCCGGTTCCTTGTCCCCTCCCCCCTCACGTTGCCCACCCCTCCCCCGCCCCGCCCAACCCGGACCCTGCGCGGGGGCCACTGGCCGCGGCGCGCTCGGGGAAAGCTGCTCCCTGGCCGGCCGTGGGGACCGCTCCTGGCCGCTGCTGTCGGTCCCCCGGCCGGCCGGCGGAAACTCCCCGCTTCGCCCCTCCCCGCCGCGGCTACACGCGCACTCCGGGGCCAGTTCCGGGATCCCCGCCCGGCGGCCGAGGGGATCCCCGCTCGGGTCAGCGGCGCGGGGCCACAGTCCCCCTGCCCAGGGAGGGAATCCCTGACCCCGAGGGCAGGAAACGACCGGCTCGGCTTGGTTTCCTCGGTCGGGAGTGGGGTGGGACATTGGGGTTGCCCGGGGTCGGCGTGGGGGACCATGGAGGTGACGCCCCAAGAAAGCAAGAGGCGGCTTCTCAGCGGGTCGGGGGCGTGGGGCCTGGGGTACGGCGGCCTCCCGTCCCGCGCGGCTAGGCCTCGAAGTGTGCGACGCGAGCTGTGCGCTCTGTCACCGCCTCTTCTTGGTGACTAACTCCAGTCCCCCGGGAACTCAGCGCCTCCGCCCCCGGGAGACCGGTGAGGAAGAAGTCGGAGCGGGGCGAGGGGAGGAGGAGGGGAAGAACGCAGGCCTCGGCGCCCCTCGGTCACAATTTCGCGTCCCCGGGGCGCGGCTGTGGGAGTTGGGGGAGGAGGTGAAGAGAAGTTCAACTCCGGCCCCAGCCTGTCGCCTCTTTATCCCCCTGCGCATGTGAGCCGCCTGACATGTGCCACTGCTATTGTTTTGATAAGAACCCCAAGCTGCTGTTGGTATAATTTCAACCCCCAAATTTTCAGTTTTTGCCAGATCTATCCCAAGGGATCCCCTTGTGACACCAAACAATGGGGTGTGTTTTAGCGATCGGTGTTTAAACAGGATCTCCAAGTGAAAAGCTGTATTGATCAAGTCACTGGCACAGCCTGATCTTCCTTTTTTCTTTATCCTCCTCTGCTCAGAATCCCTTTGTGGCCTATTATAGGAGCCAAATACACTGCGTGTAGGAGGCACCTTTTTTGGGAGGAGGGGTTCTCCATCCAGGGAGAGCTGAAGACAAACTCTGCACCTGTCTGAAAAGAGCACTGTAGAGAGTTTCCAAAAGCCAGTTCCTTTGAGCGTTTATTTTTAAGTAAGCCTTTTTTTTTTCCTTCAGCTCCACGGAAAGGGTTACACATAAGCGTGTTGTATCTAGAGGAGTAGATAGTACTTTTCATCAGACAATACTTTTTAAGTGGGAGTGGAGTGCACATCTCCCTCACTCTGCTCCTGTACAGACTTGTTTTGTTGCTCAAATAGAGTTCACTCTTGTAATTACTTAAGTGAGTTTGAGTTAGGTAGCTGGGCAAGGATGATGTCCTTTAAAAAAAAAAAGTTTAAGCTAAAATCCTCAGTAACAATTGTGATTTAAAAAAAAAATTGTCTTTGAGTTCCAAGAAAATAGTAAACAGACTTAAATTTCAAAATGTTTTCTCCTTTGATATAAGCAATCTTATCTTTTAAAGACATTTTTCCTCACTTTAGAGGGTAAGATAGATATGACTTTTATTCTTTTTGAATTAAACACTCCAGTGTTTATTCTAATGGAGATGAATTATTCTAATCATGGAGAAATCTGAAATGCTGAAATAAAGATTTTTGGCATTCCAGCCCTATTTGTCTTCCATGAACGTTAAGGAACTGTATCCTTTGTAGACTTATGACATGTAAAAATTTTTAAATGACTAGTTTTTGGTTTTTTTAATCCTTTTTTTTCTTCCCATGCTGAAGTGTTTTTCGAGTTTCTGAAAGTTACATGTAGCTTAAAAGAAATGATTGATTGGTTTGGGAGCAAAGACATCCAATCATTTACCCTCAACAAAATGTATTATGGGTGGTGTTAGGTATTCATTCTTGTGATTTTGAAGTACTGCCATTTAATTGTGTTAAATTTTGAATGATTTTACTTTCGTTAAATGATTATAAAGACATTTTTCCAAACATGCATTCAGTGTGGATGGTGTATGGTGATCTAACATTTGGCACAAGTCTGGAGAAACTAGGAAGGAAACCTCTGTTTTTACTCATACATTAGATTACTGGCTGATTTGTGTGAGTTAATTTGAAGATTATATTTTAACTATGTTATTTTGAGTTTTTTTCTTTTGTATTTGTGTACCACTAAATATACCTAATTACTCAGGTTTTCTATTTATTGAATATAAATGTCCCAAGTTTTCTATACCTGGCCTTGCTCACTTCCCAACACAATGCAGATAACTTATGCCTCTAACTTTCTGATTAGTAGTTTGCCAGAGACCTGTAGGTTACTAAATAGTTTTCTGTCTTGCTTGTTATAGTCTACTTCCTCTGTCTTTCTAAGCAGCAGTGATCACTCCTTCCTTTTATCTAGTATATTGTTTCCAATGATTACCCTGTAAAGTAAGTATTTGTTGACTCACATTTTGTCCCTTCTAAGACCCTTGAGTTCTTTGAGACAGGAACTATGACCAGGATGGATCCTGAGTGATTATTCAGTACGGACTCCCTCATTTTGTTTCTTTGAACTACATGCTCCTTAACTAATTGCTAACTCTTATTTGACCTGCTTTCATAAGCAAAGAAGACGCATTAATAATAGAACAATGACCATAGGTAAATGCACAAACTAAAATGCATTAATTGACTCTCTTAAGTCAGATAAATATTAATGCTATAATTTTGGTTAGCGCCCAACAATTTTGTTTTAAATTTATTTTTGGCTGTGGATTGTTCAAAATTGGGAGGTCCAAATACTAGAAATTATAGATTTTGGGAGGGAGGGATAGAAAAATGATTTGTTATTCAGTGTCTTAATCTTTTAAATAAGCTCACAAATGTTTTAGGCATTTGGAATTGGAATATACTTCCCATCTTTGAGTGAACCCATGCAAAATTGAAGAGTCTCACAAAAAAAAAAAAAGGAATCTCTGACACATCAACATGCAGTCCAAGCTTGTGTTTCAGCCTGGTTTTCCAGTGACAGATTTGACTGGCTTATGCTATATCCTATTTTCACTGTTGATCCACTGTCACTTGTTAATCCAGCCCCCCTTTGACAGATGAAGCATCAAGTTGGGTGGGTAGATTATGGTGTCCAAAATGACATATCTAACAATTGATGACACTAGGATCTTAATTCATGTTTCTAAGGCTATAGAGCGGATATACTCTTTTTTACTATTTGCTGGCACTTGGTGTTTATTAGGAAGAATTCTTCTATTGAAGTTTGCAGACATATGCACCAAGAATATAGAGCATTATATGAAATTCAAGTTGGCTGCCTAGATCTTTGTGTAGGTTCTACTCTCAACTGTCAGCTCAGATGTTTGCCTTCTTTTTACTATATGTTCAGTGATTAAGCTCTAGATATTAATAGGACAAACCAGAATGACATTTATTTAGTTGAGACAGGGTCTTGCTATGTAGTCTAAGCTGGCCTTAAACTTGAACTCTCCTGCCTCTGCCTCCCAAATGTTAGGATTACAGGTGTGTACTACCACAACTGGTGCCATCAGTTTATAGTGGGGAAAAAACATCCTTCACACTGACCAGCTCCCATACTGATGACAGTATATGTGAAAACTAGTTGTAATTGAGATTATTTGGTGAGCATGGGGTTTTCATGGGGGGTTAGATAATCATCATAGCTAAGGTCTTCAAATGAGGTATTTAGCTCTCTTTAGGAACGTCAGCCACATCTCCCTGATACTTTTCTTTTTTTAATGTCCCTGACACTTGAGATCACAAGTTGTTTTCCCATAGATGGTAGTGTGTAGAGTAGGTTTCTAAATGCTTTTCCTCTTGAGTTTTATCTTCTGTCTGCTTAGCAGGCTACCATGTGTTGTATTAATCCATCCTTTCTTGGAACAGAATATATATATATATATATCAGTTGTTACAGTATAACAAGCTACCCCAAAATTCAGCTCAGAATAATAACCCATTTTGTTTGCTCACTATCCTGTGGGTTGTCAGTTTGGTTTCTGCTAGTCTTCTCTGTGCTCACTGACTTCAACCAGCCAGAGAGGCAAGGGTAAGTCTGTGTGTAGTAAGACATGGCCTTGGTCACATGTGTGGATCCTCAGCTTGCATGACTTTTTCTCACTGTGTAGTCTTTCATCCTCATGAGGCTAGCCTGTGCTGCTTCATGTGATGGCGTCAGGTTTTCAAGAAGGTTGAGGGCTGTGATGTCTCCAGTGTCATCTCTGTTGTATCAATGAGAACAAATCACAAGGATGGCCCAGATTCAAGGGATGGTGAAATAGACTCCACCTGTTAGTTAAAAGAGTATCAATGTCATATTTCAAAGGAGTCTGCACACCTTTAATCTTCTTTTACATGGATTGGGTTTCAGGTGTTTACTAAAATTCTGATTGACTTTATCCATCAGTACACACTGAAAATCATACTAACAACTTACGGACATACCTTGTTGTTTGCCCTTGTACTATCTATCATAATTCAGATTATTTCTTTTTAGAATTTCTGTTGTTCTGTGCTTGCCCATAGGAGCTGCCAAGAAGAAATATCTTCAAATAATTCTGATAGTCGATTCTGCCTCTTTTTACTCTTATCGATGTTGAACCTTATTGTTTGAACATCCTCAAAGTTTTTTATGTGTTCTCTGACATTGTTTGTCTACCGTGCTATTTATTCTCTTAGGATCTCTCTACACATGTGGTCCCTGAATAGTAAGAATTGTTACTGTTTATTGAGTGCACATATATTATGGGGGCATTTGCTTAGAATTATATCATTTGATTTTCACATAAACTCTTCATGGAACATATCCCCATTTTACAGATGGGGAACTGAAAGTTAGAAAGGTTATGTAACTTATGCAGAGTTGCATAATAAAAGTGATAAAGCTAGGATTCAGACATTTCCTCTTTCTCATTCATATGTGTACATTATCTGTCTAGATGCCCGTAAAAATAAATGTGGACTGCTCCGTGACAGTACAACTGTTTACTCTTGACACTCTATTTTGAGAGTCTTTGGAGATGTTGAGATAATTTATACCTCTAGTGAGAAATGAATGAGTGTCAGGAATATAATGGTATAAGTCACATTTGTCCTGTGGAGCCAATATCAGACAAGAGAGCTGATAACTGTTTTCTGGGAACTTGAGGAAACCCTCATACAGGAGATAACATTGGAGTTGGGTCCTGAGGGATGGGGCTCAAGGATGTATAATGAAGCAGAAAGACATTCCAGGCAGAAGATACTCTAAATACATTTTTTTCTGAATAAATTTTTTAATATGGGAAATTATATGAAGCACAGAAGCATGAATTTGTATCTTATTTAAAATTTATCTTTTTCATATCCATTATTGTTAAGCTAGGCCTTTTACATCCAGTACTAGAATATGTTTCACCTTTGTTGATTTCCACTTAATGTTTTAAAGAACATTATTGCTGTTTCTCACCTTTATTTCATCTGCAAATTTTAGGAACCCACCTTGAATGTCATATGAGACTATGAAGGGCAGCACTATATAAAATGCAAGTAGTATTTCATTAATGTGTTTTTTTAAAAAATTAGACCTTATTTTTTATTTAAAAATTTCCTGACCACCTATAAATAAATATAAAAATGTAATTCTTATCTCAGTGGCATTTTTATAACATAAAGCATGTTAATTCTGCCATCCCTGTGATCTAATTTCCTCTCATAACCTTGTTAGTGAAGGATATTATTAAAAATCCCTTACTGTCTTCTAGTAATAATTACCTTTTTAAGTTTATAAGCTTTACTTTTCATCTTTTGGGTATCATAGCTATCTTAAGTCAGGAATTATATTAGTTTTTAGCCTATGGCTTCATTTCTCTGTTACACTAATTATTTTTTGTGGACAAGGAAGTTTGCCATGTCCCTTAGGTCTTTTGCACTGGATCTTGTCACATCTAATAACTGGTTAACATAGTTTTGTCCCTTAAGTAAAGTACACTTTGTGTTTATCGGAATTGTATTTGATGTCACTTAGTTCTTAATCTTCTTCTACTAGTCTTTTAGTTCTCCTGATCCCCAATAAATTAACAGTATGTTGTCCTTTGTTCTTCAGTTTGTTCGTGAGAGTTGGTTGACTTTATAGTACAGATATTTTTAGAAAAGTACCCTACTTTGTAACTCAGAAGTAATTTTCCCTTATGAAACAATGGTAAAGAGAGACCATCAATTTTGGTAAAGGGCCAGGTAATCAATATTTTAGTTTTTGCTGGTCATAGGGTTTCCTGCATTCTCCACAAATAAAGTGAGAAAGCAGACAGTACCTGAAAGTACAGGCATGATTGCATTTTAATAAAACTAAAAAAGCGGGCAGAGGACTGGATTTGACCTCCAGGCCAGTAGTATGCCTACCTCTGATAAAGAGGATTATTGAAGGAATGCAGTTATAAATCAGATATAACAATTTATATTAGCCTAAAAGTCATATTCATATAAAACAATAATTCATACTTTATAATTTTTTGCTCACAATAGTAGAATGTGTTTCTTGTACAAACTGAAGAGGCACTATAACCACCTCAAGTTCAGTTTACCACCTAACTCAACTTGTTTGAATATGGATGGTGAGTGGGTGAAGGGTGAACAGAATAACAGGTGGGAAAAAGTGAAGGTATGTAATGTTAGAGATGGTGCTGTGCTTTTAGGGGATGAGTATCTAGGGAGAAATAGCCCTGGGACTTTGCCCATTTGTGTTAACATGGCCACAGTGGGTGAGGGTACCCTGTCTCCCACCTCCTAAAGGTAGATTTTGTCTGTAGCAAGGCTATAATATAACACAAACTGTGTAGAAACACCAGGAAACAATAGCACAAACATTTTGCAAGCAATACTGGAAACCTTTTGAGAATAGAAGCTGTAGGTCACTGGTTACTGACCATCCTGTTTTTCTACCTGGTAACATGCTTAATGGATGCTTGTGGCACTCTTACTATTGCTCACTTTGAGAGTTTTAGACAATGTTAAACCTAAATAATGTATATTACAGCCTACTTTACACGTAACTGTCCCGCTACCATGATGTCAGTGTCCCATGCCCTACTAAATATCCTAGGCCTCTAGCTGCTGTGGCTAGAGCTATGCTGTTTAATCCAATAGTCACTTTTTGGTCCTAAGGGCTACTAAGTACTTGAAATGTGACTAGTCTGAATTAAGATGGGCAGTAAATGTACAATATACACTGGATTTGGAAGATTTAGTACAAAAACTGTAAATGATTTTCATGTTAATACTCATTTTATTCTGCACCCTTGGAAACCACCTGGTAGTATATATTTAGACAGATATGTTAACTAGGAAAGAGACATACAACAATTGAAGTACTTGTAGAGTGATGGGAAAAGGAAAAATTTTGGGAAGGAGGAAAAGTTAAAAAATAATGACTTAATTATGTTGGTTACATGTAATTACTGATGAGTAGATCAAAGTGTACTTTTACTCTACAGAGGAGAGCAGAAGTTTACCCATGTCTTACCAGTTAGGGTAGTCTTTATTAACCTTTTTTGCATATTTCTAACCATTTATATAAAATGATGTATGCATACATGCTTATATAAAAATTCAAACAATATAAAAATGTTTAGAATCACAAATGTTTTCCTTTTTCTTTCTTAGTCTCCTCCTTTCTCCATGGAAATATCTGTTTATAATATGTATATGAAAGACACATTTTTATGGATATTATTAATGTATGTAGGCTTGTATATTTAGTAATTTGAGGGTTTTCTACCCAATATTTCTTTGCATTTTAAGAGACTGGATAAATTTTTTTATTTTTTTATTTTTTGTAGTACTGGGGCTTGAACTCAGGGCCTTCATCTTGAGCCACTCCACCAGCCCTATTTTTGTGGAGCGTTTTTCATGATAGGGTCTCGCAAACTATTTGCCTGGGCTGGCTTCAAATTGTGATCTCCTTATCTCTGCCTCCTGAGTAGCTAGGATTACAGGCATGAGCCACCAGCGCCCGGCCTGGATAGAATTTTTAAAAGTAATAAATGCTCACGTTAAGAAATTCTAACAGCACAGAAAGGCACTGAATAAGATGGTCCCCTAGTCTTATCCCTGCTCCCTAGCAGTTACTGGTTTTTGTATTCCATTCTAAAAATTTGTTCTTACAAGTACTTTTTCTTTTCTTTTCTTTTTGTTATTTATTGTTGTGGTTGTTTCTTTTTGTTTTTGTTTTTGATCAGTATATACTTTTTAAAAGTATAGGAGGTGTCTCAAATTTGAGGTAGGACTTTTTTTTGTTGCTCTATTTTATGTTATTTAAGAAGTTTTATACTTTTTAATGACATTGTATGAAGTATTGTAGTTAAGTGTTCTCTTATTGTTAGGTGACTAGATTTCTTAGTTTTTCACTGCTATGTTTAAAAATTTTTTTCACTGTTCCTCAGCAAAAATTTTAATTTTTATTTTTTTAATCAAACAAGGACTAAACTTTGTCGACAAATGCTGTAGACATTTTGACATAAGTTTAAGTTACCTATTTAGGCAGACTTACACATGTAGCATATAATCCTCTGAGAACAAAACGGAAGGACAGTACAATCCCAATTAGGATTTTAACTTATGTACAAGGTGGATTTTGACTTCTTTTTCATTCAGCTGCAATTTCCCTTTTTATATCATGCTAGTATTGAGACATACTTGACTAACTATTGGGAATAGTTCAGTATTGACAACTGTCAACTTAATGAAAATTGTAAGCTTTTGTTCCCCAGTGTCCATGTGAGTTTTTCATAGAGTGCAGAATCTCAGATGAACAAAATGAGTTTTTTAAATACTGAACTTTTAATTATTAGTACTATTACTGAAAGAATGTGGTTTAAAAAGCTCTGTATCAAATTCAAATTAGGTGACCAGCTCTTCTCCCCTAGTCAACCTCTTCAAAAACCTACTCCCCCTGCAAGTATCTCTTAACACACATAATGAAAGAGTCAGTTTTACAGACCTAATTCTGTTGTTGAAAAACTTTAACTTTAAAAAGAATTAAAAGGAAAAATATTTATTTTCAGTCTGACTTAGTTTCAAAACTGATAGAAGCTGCCAGGTGCTGGTTGTTTACACCTATAATCCTAAATGAATTTGGGAGTCTGAGATTGGGAGGATCATGGTTCAAAACCAGTCCCAGCAAATACTTTGAGAGACCGTATCTCCAAAATAGCCAGAGCACAATGGACTGGGGGCTTGGCTCTGGTGGTAGAGTACTTGCTTTGCAAACACCAAACCCTGTGTTCAAACCCTAGCCCTCCCCCCAAAAAACTGACATAAGTTGAAATCCAACTTTGGCTAAAGTGCCTTTAGTTTTAAAATTTTTTTAATTAGTGTATATTAGTTGTACAAAGAAATTTCATGGTGCTAGTTCCACACAAGCATATAATGTACTTTGATCAAATTCATCCCCTCTAGCTAATGTGCCTTTAAATTACAGAATATAGCTGTCTGTTTGTCTATTTTAAAAATATGTTTAGGTAAGTATAAGTTGATCAGGTCCTAAGTCCTTGTTTTGGGTTCTATGATACTATGTAAAATTTTGCGTTAAAGGAATGGGGAAAAAGCTGATCAAGGTATCAACTTACAATGTAAAATTACTTATGAAATGATAGATAATGGGTTTTTGTTTTTGTTTTTTAATCAGTGACTTTTTTGAGCGAACCATTCTGTGCAACAGCCTTGTGTGGAGTTGTGCTGTGACGGGTAGACCTGGACTGACATATCAGGAAGCACTTGAGTCAGAAAGAAAAGCAAGACAGAATCTTCAAAGTTTTCCAGAACCACTAATTATTCCAGTTTTATACTTGACCAACCTTACCCATCGTTCACGCTTACATGAAATTTGTGATGATATCTTTGCATATATCAAGGATCGGTATTTTGTTGAAGAAACTGTGGAAGTCATTAGGAACAATGGTACAAGGTAAAGTACTTTTAATTTTTCCTCTCAATAATCATATATTCATTCCAGTTTGAGGCTAGTCTGTGCTACCTAAGGAGACCCTGCCTCAAAAACACATACACACAGTCAAAATATGTAAAAAAGTGACCTGAAGAAATCTTTCCTTTTACTGTCCTCTGACTACCCTGTTAACCCACAAAGAGCCTTGTGTTAGCTATTTCTTGTATATCTTTCCAAAGCTAATTTATGCATATGCCATCAAAAATAGGTACATATGTGTCTATATATCTATCTATAACACATTCCTTTCCCTTTTAATGCAATAGGTAATACACTGTTCTCTACGATCTTTTTCACTTAAAATATATTAATCAGTCCGTTGCTATATGAGACACCTTCCTTCTCTTCAATTTACTGTATAATAAACCCCATTATACCATTTTAAGAGTAATGATGTCTAAATTAACTAATAGCTTAAATATGCTTATATTTCTTGATTGGTTTCAGCATTTCATTTAATAAAACTAGAACTGAGTTTTTTTATGCTCTACTAAATTCTTTGTATCTCTATCTTGTGTAAGCTTTTCACATAGCTTTATTGAGATGTACTTTATTGAGATACAATTCACAGAACTATAAAACTCCCCAGTATAAAATAAGCAATTCAGTCTTAGTTCTCTTCACCCAGGTCTTCAAGAGTACAGTGTATTCCCAGCCTTGGGAGGCTGAGCCAGAATTTCAAGTAGGAGGCCACCCTGGAATACATAGCAAGATCCTACTTAAAAACAAAAAGTGTACTTTTTATATATGGAAATTGAAATGACATAATCTGTGTCACCAAATTAAAAATCATTAGCTTCATGGCAGAGTGCTTGCCTGTATACTTGAAGGCCCTGGGTTGGATCCCCAGCAACACACACACATACACACACACAGCAGAAAGGAAAGAAAAAATATCAGTGCCGGGTGCCAGTCATAAGTATTTTTGATTGGCAAGTCACGGATATTTATCATAATAAAAATTTTGTTAAAACTTTTTATAACCTCTTGACTTTTTGGAGGAATTGTTGTGTTTTCTGAATGCTATTATTTCCCATTATTGACCTGAATGCATTGTTCTTGTTTTGGTGAATCATTAAAGTTCATGTGTAACTTTAACAATATCTAAACAAACTAATACATAATTTAGTTGTTAAATGTTGCTCTACATTAATCTTTACAAGCCAAGCAGTATTTATATTAAGACCTGAAATTGCTTGGATTTGACATCGGCAAAATTCTTTAAAGTCTTTAAAATTGGAGAAGAACAAATGGTAAAACTTGAAAGGGTTTTTGTTTTTTCTTTTCTTTTTTTTTTTTAGATGGGGTTTCATTATGTAACCTGGGCTGGCCTCAAATTCATGATCCTCCTGCCTCAGTCTCCCAGGTGCTGGGATTATAGTCATGTACCACCATATCTGGCTAATTGAAGGATTTTTTGGGAAAAATTATATCTTTACTTTAGAAACATTAAAAAATATAAACAAGGAGTCTTTACTCCCATTTCCTGCTTGGGGAGAAGGAAATGTTTACCTTTTTTTCCCCTCCCATTTCTTCCTACTTTATCCTGTTATACTAAATTCTTGCTTTGAAAAAAGAAAAAATATATATTAACAAAAAGGGGAGAGACTAATGTATATTACCAGTAATCCCAGCAAGAAAATGCCCTTATAAGGATTCATATTATAAATACTGTTTTGTAGTACATTTAGTGGTTTATACTTTGGGTCGTATCCTGAGAAAATAGATTTTTTTGTTTTGATCTGTATAACCAGAGAGAAAAATGAAACCATGTTTGAAGACCATTAGAATTTTTTCCTTAGGTCTAGTCTTTTTATTAGGCTTGTGGCAAATATGTTTTACAATTAACAAATTATTAAACTTTTAACATTAGGAATACAGCTTATTTTGTAAAAAGGCTAGTTTTCTCAATAGCCTTTGTTGTTGTATCTTAAAAGTGGGCTTCAGGTGGCTGTAGCTATTTGTTATAGTAGTAGATAGTGGTATACTGCAGAAAGGGGAAATCTGGAAGTAGTAACTATTGAAATTCAATAGGAAACATAAATTTTCCTGTTAAGGAGTTTTATTTAATTGTGAAATAGAAGAAATTTATTTTTCTAAAAATTAAGGCTTAAGACTGGGGTATGACTCAAGCAGTAGAGAGCCTGTCTCAAAAGCATGAGGCTCTGAGTTCAAACCCCAGTATCACCAAAACAAAAACAAATTTAAGGCTTAAGTTTTTTATATATTGGCCATTCTTGATTTGTCATCATACCTAATGTTTTCCCTCCCATAGATACAACATTCTGGATGTTCTTTTAAAATAACATAGACAATTGGGCATAGTGGCACAATAACCGCAGGTACTTCAGAGGCTGAGGCAGATGGTAATCATAGGTTTGAGGTCAAGGCCAGACTAGGCTACCAAAAAGTAAAATTAAATAAGTAAAACTTTTTATAGATTAATACACTTGTAGTGCACTTCTAGTGTACTATTACACTTATAATTAAGGATACAACTAGATTAATTTGAGGTCATGTCAACATGAATTCAGTGCTTGACTACATGATTTTTATTTGAGAAGTAAGAATGATTATAGTTAATAGATTCACTTCTTAGGTCCTCTGTTCCCAAAATTCCTGAGATTAGAGAGAATGTAGGATTGGATTTTTTTGGAGCGGGGGGAGGGGCTGCACTGGGTTTGAACTCAGGGCCTCATGGTTGCTAGGCAGCACTCTTTATCGCTGAGCCTCTCTGCCAGCCCTTTTTTTTTTTTTTTTCCTAGATAGGGTCTTACAAGTTATTTGCACAAACTGTTTTTCTGGGTCTGGCTTTGAACCATGATCCTCCTGATCTCTGCCACCTGAGTAGCTAGGATTATAGATAGGAGCCAGTGGTTCCCAGCAGGGTTTTTGTTTTGTTTTGTTTTTGCAAAAGTGGGGATTGTGGAGCTTGAGACTCAAAACCAGAGACAATACTAGTTAGGATTTGTATAAGCATTTTTCTTACACACAAGACTACCATAATTTACAAAATTATTTTGTTTGTTCTCTCTGTAGCTTACTGTGAACACTTGGAAAGAGAGGTAGGCTAGAAATAATAAAAGCAAAATACTGTGGTAGCATATGGAAAAAGGTTAATTGGAAATGATGAAGTATAGAAGAGTGATGACTTAAAAGAGGACTAAGTAGGAGTTAAGTAAAAAAAAAAAAAAAAGGAGACTTGAGAAGCTAGTGATAACTTAAGCTTAGTAATTAAAACTTTTCAATCCAAAGCAGAAAGTCTCCAGGAAAAATATTTAGAAATAATTCAAAATTTCCCTCCTGTAGGACTAAGTAATACTATTGTTTATTTTTCTGTGGATCTTATATATCTATCACACTGCCCCATGAGGTTGTGAAATGATAACATAATCTACTTTAAAAAAATATACCTTTATGTCTATGTTCTGCTTCTGTACAACAGTTATTCAGAAGTATTGAGTTCCTTCTTCGCACCAGTCACTGATTGAGGTACTAGTTATATACAGTGAACAGCTTCTCTTCTCACCAAGTCAGACATATTTGTTGCTTCTCAAATGTGCCAGACATGATCTCTTCCTCAGGGTCTTTGCACTTAACTTTTCTCTTAGTCTGGAGTTCTTTTGTCCAGATATCAATGTGATGAGCTCTCTTACTCCTTCATGTCTTCCCTCTTTACCACTCTTTCATTAAGACTTCTTCCTTTCTGTCTGAAATTCAGTATTTCCTTATCCCAACATTTAAAAAAATTTTATTTAAAAGTTTTAATTTTAGTAAAATATTCTTTACATAAAATTAAGCGTCTTAACCATTTTTATTTCATCTCTTTTGTCCATGCTGCTTTTTCTGCTTAGCACTGTCTAACAATATTTTCCTTACCTATTTTATTTATTAGTGGTCTCCTCCACTAGAATATAAGCTAAATGAGCTCAGGCATCTTAGTGACCACTGTAAACCTGGCACTTCAGATGGCACATAGTAGGTGATTGAATGAATATTTGTTTAGTGGTGAGGGAGACCCAAATATAAATAAAAAACAAATTTCATATAGAAATGTTCTGAAGGCAATGATAGATGTGTTAGAGAGTGATGGAGGAGGTTGTTGGCGCTTCAGCTATGGTGGTCAAAGAATGCTGCTTTTGAGGAAGTGACATTTGCTCTGAGATTAGGAGAGAAGGAACCAATCATGGTAGGAACCCTAGAGATAGAGGGGGAAGGGCCCTGAAGTGGAAATAATTTAAAATATTGCAGTGGCTGCTGAATGGTGAAGTGATTGAAAGGATGTCCAAGCATGGAAGCCCTGGAACCAGTTTGGAGCAGTGACAACAGGCCTTTCTAGTGCAGAGACGACCTTTCAGTCAGATGGCAATGGTGCAGAGGGAGAGAATTGGATAGATTTAGAATATTTTGAATGAAAATCTAGTGGGATTTATGGATGGATTGGGCAGGGGTATGTGTAGGAAAGGAGAAATGAATGACTCCTTGACTTTTTGCCTTTAGTGGATGATAAGATGCAGAAGCCTTGGGAAATAATATCTGGTCATCTTTGGTCTCATCTCAGGCCCTGTTACTTTTAATTGGTCTGATTTTGTTTCACGGACATGTTGCTTATGTTATTCATGAGTGCCTCTCATAGGCTAATTCCTGGGCTCGGTATCACGGATATGAAAAGGATTAAGATGCTCTTAAGGAGCTCACTTAAGAGAGAAACATGTAAGTGATCAAATACTGTGATAAGCCTGTGAGTGAAGCAATTCAGGAGCATCCAGGTTATGTGGCATTGAGGCTAGGCCTGGGTCCCCACGTTAACACCAGCACTGAATATTTTAGCCTTAACTTTTGCCTTATCTGATATCTCAGTGTTTAACTTGCTGGTTCAGATCTTTTGCTTCTTTTTCTTTTGGCTTTTTTGTTAACAATATGTAAGAAGTATGTATGAAATACTAGCACTTTAAAGTTTT